GCACTTGGCCTTGTTGAATCTCATACAGTTGATTTCAGTCCATCAATCCAGCCTGTTCAGATCCCTCTTGTAGAGCCTTCCTACCCTCAAGCAGATCGACACTCCCACCCAGCTTAGCATCCTCTGCAAACTTACTGAGATTAAGGTAGGCAGGAGGGCAGAGTTTCCTAAAACCACAGAGTCACAGAGTGGTTTGGGTGGGAAGGGACCTTTCCAGGCCATCTAGTCCAACCCCCTGCAGTGAGGAGGGACATCTTCAACCACATCGGGTTGCTCAGAGCCCCGTCCAACCTGACCTTGAATGTTTCCAGGGATGGGGCTTCTACCACCTCTCTGGGCAACCTGGGCCAGGGTTTCACCACCCTCACTGTGAAAAATTTCTTCTTCTTATGTAGTCTAAATCTCTCCTCTTTTAGTTTAAACCCATTTCCCCTTTTCTTGTCACTAAGGTCCCTGCTAAAAAGTCTGTCCCCATCTTTCTCAGAGACCCCCTTTAAGTATTGACGGGCCAGATACCTGTGGGGAAGTTCCACAGTCAATGTGTGCACTGTGACTGCAATAGTTATGGCAACAGAAACACAAAAGTGCCTGAAAGACTATTTAAATTTAATTTTTTTTTTAACATATGATTTTATTGGTGCTACGTGCAAGAACGAGCTGTCCTGCAAACCTAGAGGTGTGAGAGGAAACAGACCCCAAAGTTACATTCTGCCTTTTCTCTTTGTGTTTAAAATAAACTTTCCCCTGTTGAAAGCGTGTCGGTTAAAGTGTTGCCGTTCAAAAAATAACTGTATAACTGATGGAGTGTCATTGTTTTGCTACAATCCCTAACCAGAAGTTTATTGAAGCTTTGCTATTTCTTATTTCCCATTTAGCTTTTATCAAGTGGTGATTTTATGCAATGGCATCAAGCCACAGTTCTTCACCAGTGCCTCAGTCAAACAGCAGCGATGCTTTCTTTAAAAAGGAAATGGATGCCACAAAACGTTTTCGACCTGTGCAGTCGCTGCCTGACGTGTGTCCCAAGGAACCCACAGGTAATGTCATAGAATCATAGAATCACAGAATGGTTTGGGTTGGAAGGGCCCTCACAGATCATCCAGTCCCACCCCCCTGCCATCAGCAGGGACACCTTCCACTAGACCAGGTTGCTCAAAGCCTCATCCAACCTGGCCGCGAACACCTCCAGGGAGCAGCAACCACAGCTTCCTTGGGCAACCTGTTCCAGTGTCTGACCACCCTCACAGTGAAGAACTTCTTCCTAATATCTAATCTAAACCTCCCCTCTTTCAGCTTAAACCCATTTCCCCTTGTTTTGTCATTAAGTGCCCTTGTAAAAAGTCCTTCCCCAGGTTTCTTGTAGGCCCTTCAGGTACTGGGAGGTGCTATAAGATCTCCCTGGAGCCTTCTCTTTTCCAGGCTGAACAGCCCCAACCAAGGAGAGTGAAAATACAGTTAAATTTGCTAATCTGTTTACAGTTGTTCAGTCAATTTTTTTTGTGTACTGGGTGTAGTTTATTAAGCATAATCTTATTTCAACTCATGCTGTAATTCTGCTTTATACCACCCAGTGTCCCGTCAGAGCAATGGTAGCGCCTTCCACAAGGCCTTCCTATTTGCAGCTTCTTTTTAGATGTCCACATTATAGATGGGATCTTGCTTGTGTGATTCCACATCATAACTATGATCCTACATGCAAGAAGAGGGTTTATTCCATCAGAGCCTGTAACAGACCGGTCCAGTTTGCTTGGAGTCTAGCTGCATGACTTCTGTGAAACACCCCAGCCCGCTTGCAGTGGGAAGCAGAGAGACCAGGACCTGTCTCTCACACTGTCATAAATCTCTAGTGTTATTGTAAAACCAGGTTTTTGTCACAGTTATAGCTGCTGTGGTGTTTTAAAGCTTAGTTTATAAAAAGGAGCAGGTGGGGTGGGATCTTAAGAAGTATGGAATATAACGCTAATGAATTTCAATGTCATTCTGATTGAGTTCAGATTATTAACAATATGTTTGTAGTTGGGATTTTTTTCTCTTCAGTAGAAGCTAAAGTTGTGGAGCTCAGTATATTTAATGAGTGTGAATACACTGCTGTGTTGGTTAATCTGGTAGAAGACATGCAAGTTAAAGTGCTGCAGGAGGAGTAAGTGTCGTGTCTTTTGCGTAGTTAATCCTGATCCCCTGTGGAATTGTGAAAACACAGTTTGCTGAAGGACCACGTTTTGGCAAAAATGCAACTTCCAGTTTCTCACCTTGCCAAACTGTCTTGTCTTTTGTGCTGCAGGCGATCCCAGTAATTTATGTGACAGCCCGTCTCTAGTTGTGGATCAGCACAGATGGACTATTTATCATTCCAAAGTCAATCTCCCAGCAGCATTAAATGATCCTAGGTTAGCAAAAAGGGAATCTGATTTCTTTACAAAAACATGGGGAGTGGACTTTGTGGACACTGAAGTCACGCCTTCATTCTACCTCCCACAGATCACCAAGGAACATTTTGCATTATACCAACAGGAAATTACTCCGGTAAGAACCAAAAATTAGATGAATGTTGTACCAGGGGCCAGAAAGAGATTTGAAATCCTTCTTCTAATTAGAGATTGTCCTTACTAGTAGTCCATCATACAGTTAGCTAATAATTAATTTGCTCTTCAGTGCTTGTTAACTCTTCATGAGGCATTTCTTGTTTTATAATCTCAGTATTTGTAGTGTGGAAAATGCTGTCTAAATTGTCTCTAGGCAATTTTTTTTGTTTGGTTGGTTTGGTTTTTTTGTTTCATTTGTATTTCTGAATACTGAACTCTGCACCAGGGCTTACAGTTCATGTTTATTAATCCTTTTTCTATAAGGATTGTTTAGTGATTGAGCTCTACAACTAAGTGCAACATAGCACTTTTAGACCTTTGGATCAACTATAAAACATGAATATATGCTACAAGGTTTGGAGATATTTTTAATTTAATGTTTATATGTGAAATTCTTAAACTGTAAGTAGGCCTATTATCTGCAAGGTTTGGAGATATTTTTTAATTTAATGTTTATACATTAAATTTTTAAATGTTAATACAGTTAAATTCTTAAACTGTAAGTAGGCCTATTATCTTGCTGATTTCTTTTGTAATAGGAAAGTTTAAGCTACATCTAAGGACACCAGGACCAGTACAAGATTTCTACAAACTCTTAAAATACAGGTGTCAGTAGTATTCTTTTTCTTTTTAACTGAAAGAACATGTAGAAGTCTTCCACTGTTTTCTGCTTCCTTGGTTTGTAACTTTCTTATTTTATTTTTTTTGCTGGTACAGAATTGGCTGCAGGAAGTGTTACTCATAGGTGAAGTATGTGAACGTGAATTGTCTGTAACTGAACTATTGCCATTAGCTCACACATTCAATAGTTAAAATGTTTAAGAGCTCATCTGTTAAAATTAATGTCTAATGTGGTGACTGTTAAATAAAAGAAGATTTTAGGAGGAGGGAACTTGACCCATGATGTATTTTCTAGCAGAAAATTATCTAGCTAACATTGGTGTTCTTTAGAAACATAATTTCTTACCACTATGGTCTCTGGTGTTGTTTACACCTGTAGATAAAATTTGAAGCTCAGCATGACAAAACAAGTTGTGTGGTTTCAGCAAGGTACTCGTTAGAACGACATGGAAGCAATTTCTACTTTGATCCGATTTAATTTAGCAATGAAAAAGCAGCCATTGTGTGTTCGTGTGATTTCTGAATTAGACAGCAAATAAATGTTGGGATATGTAATTACAATTGATCTGTGGTTATATCTCATTATGCAGAGAAGCTATTACACCTCTTAAATAACTTTTCTGTTAATTTTCTCTTGAGATGTAAAGGTACAGGAAGAAAACCCACATACTGACAACAGGTTGAAATTTTTGGTATCCCCTTCACCTGGACAAACATTTCCTGAGCTTCTGAGGGGAAAAAAAATCCTATTGTGAACTTGTCAGAGTTATTTGGTGTAACACAGTTTTGCTGAAAATGTTCTGAATGTTCTGTTTCAAAGAAAAAAGAGACTTTTTTTGTTTTTTAAGCCTCCAAATAATTCTTTAATATATTTTGTCTTTTACAGAGAGAGAAGGTTCATGAAAGAAGCAAGAATATTTATACTCCTAAAGATACCCTCGACCGGACTCTGTTACACACCCACGGTACTTTATTGTTAAAAAGCTTTCCTTTATTGTTAAAAAGGAATTCCTTCTTGTATCAGTATGTTATAGAGTATGTTGTAGCATTCAACAACGGATGCTGTAACATACTGATCATCTCCTTTACTTGCTGGAAGGCTTCATGTGCAATAATAGCTGCTGAGGATTTCTTTATAACAATAATCGAAAACCCAGACATGGTTGACTAGAAGTATTCATGACCGCTGCTGATATTTTATAGGTCCAAATGCTTGTGACACCTGCTTTTAAACTTTTCCTTGGCATGTTTGCATTCATGGCAGATCATTTTGTCCCTGGCAGCATTTTATTTAACTTCCTTTTATTTAAAATCCATTGAAACTGTTGCATCAAATTTCTAGCAGCTGTTGACTTTGCCATCCTGGCTCTCTGCTGTGAGGATCAGGGAATGGCTCAGGTGGGAGGTGACATCTCAAAGTGGTCTGGTCCAAACCACCTGCTCAAGCAGGGTGACCTATGGGAGGATGGAGTCCAGTTGGGTTTTGAATTTATCCATGGATGGAGATTACACAGCCTCTATGGGCAACCTGTTTCAGTGTTTGACCCCCCTCACAGTAAAAGTGTTTCTTTATGTTCAGATGGAATTTTTCATGTATCAGTTTCTGCCTCGTTGCCTTTTGTCCTGTCACTGGGCACCACTGGGAAAAGCCTGCTCTGTCTTCTTTACACCTTCTTACCAGATATTTAAAAACACTGGTAAGCTCATCCCTGAGCTTTTCCAGGGTAAACAGTCTCAGCTCTCTCAGCCTCTCTTCCTGTGAAAAATGCCCTGGTCTCATAAGTGTGTTTGTGGCCCTTCACTGGACTCGTCCCAGTATGTCTAGGACTGTCTTGTACTGGGGAGCTCGGAACTGGGCATGCTGCTCCAGATTGGGGACAGACTTTTTAGCAGGGCCTGTAGTGGTAGGATGAGGGGAAATGGTTTTAAACTAAAAGGGGAGATTCAGATTGGATATAAGGAAGAAATTTTTTATGCTGAGGGTGGTGAAACCCTGGCCCAGGTTGCCCAGAGAGGTGCTAGAAGCCCCATCCCTGGAAGCATTCAAGGTCAGGTTGAATGTGGCTCTGAGCAACCTGATGTGGTTGAAGATGTCCCTGCTCACTTCATGAAGTTCTACTCTGGCCAGTTCTCTGCTAAGTATTTCTCTGATTGCTGTTACCAGAAAGTACCTGGCACACTTTTTTTGTTGTCTGCAGCTGTAGCAAGGCTGAATTGCAAGATTTTATGGAAATAGTTCAGCTAATATGAAACTGGACAAAGGAAGGCAAGAGGCAAAATGAAAAAGTAAGAAAAGCAAAAGGCAAAGAAACACACATAACCTGGAGCAAGCTTTTAATATTTCATTTATTTTCATTTATTTTCTCAAAAACGTCAGCATAAAAGTGTTCATTTGCCAATTGCTGTTTGATCAGGCTTGTCTATATCAGTATCTGCAGGTATTGCAGCAAGAGACATTCAGTAGTTTACTCCTCCTGATCAGATTCTTTCAATCATCTTTCTTCTTCCTTTCCCATGCAAAATGAATCCCTTCTGTGGGGTTTCCCTGTGATTGGTGTTATTTTGGAATAGCTTTTCCTGAATGAGTCAGTTTGTGGTGCATGGTGCAAAATAAAAGTTCCTTCTTCTGCCTTAACTTAATCCATTTTGACAGAGGCTTTTGTAAGAGAAAATTACTGTGTCACCAAAGTCACTGGGAGCGCTTAATCCATTTTGACAGAGGTTTTTGTTTTTTAAAAAGAAAAAATTACTGTGTCACCAAAGTCACTGGGAGCTTCTTGGGTAGACGGACAGTTCCTAGTAGAAACATCATTTGGTAAACTGTAATTTTCTCTATTTTCTTCTGATAGCCTTACCTGTCTTCCTCTAACCTCCAAGCTCACAAGACTAGACCTTTCACTTCCATCAGAGTTGGTCTGTCCAAAGACTGAGGACAGCAGCATGAATCCTAGGTTGCTTTCTGTGTTTCAATACAAATAAAGTAACAAACAAATCAAGTAAGAACCAAATTGATGAGAGAAGTAGGAGATAACGCTGATGTAGCGCTTACCATGTGTGCCAGGGACGAGTAGACTGTCCAGCTGAGGTATGGACTTGTTGTTTTTAAATCCCTCACCTTTTTGGCCTCCAGTGTGCCCACTCTTCCTGACACACACTAGGTTAATGAGTAAGGGAGGAAAAGGGGATTTGGGCTAAACCAAGGTCAGACCAAGCCATGAAGGGCTTTATCCAGACAGGCCTTGAAAACCTGCAAGGATGGAGAGTATCTAGTGTCTCTGGGCAGCCTGCTCCAATGCTTGATTGTCCTCATGGTGAAAAAGATTTTCCTCCTGTTCAGTCAGAACGCTTTGTTTTCATTTATAACCACTGTTGCCTGTCCAGCCCCTGTGAGGAACCTGGCACTGTTGTCTTGAAAACTTCCTCACAGGGTTTCATAGAGTTCAAGGTAATTGTTTTCCATTGTTTGCTCATGAATGACTACTTCTATTTTGTTTAATTGTAGATAAATCCAGGACAGATCTGGAACAAGTACCTAAGGTATGATTCCTGTGCACTTTAAGCTTTTATAAGGATTTCTGACATGTAGTCTTGAATATATGAATGTACTCTCTTCCTTGTAGAAATTTTGTCCAAGCTGCAGCGCTCAGAATTTAAAAGGACTAAGAACAATCACAATCTGCTTTTTCTTTCTTACTTTTTTTTTTGTTTGTTTCCTGTGGTCTTGATTTTTCTCTTACTTAAAATAGAATACAAATGCCATTATTTTTTTTTTTTCATCTTCAATAGTTAAAACCTCAGAGCTGGGCAAAATTAGTGACTCTGTGTTCTAGTCACAAAGGAAACTGAAGAGTTGGATAGAAGCTTGAATAGTGCACAGTGTACAACTTAGCATTAGGTTTAACTCCTTGAATCCTTGAGCAAAACCCTCTTGCCTATATGTTTGCAGCTTGTATGATGTGGGTTTTTTGAGATAGGTTGACAAAAGACACAACTCCAGATTTCATTTCAGTCTGAATAATTTTTCTAGGTATTATAATTTTTCAGAGTATTAATATGAGTCAGCATCCTCTGTGCCAGTCACGTAGGCTGTTACTTGAATAGCTGTCACTGCAGTATCTAAAGTCTGGGAAACAAGAATGTTTTGAAGTATGGGGTGATGCTATAGTCTTCTGTTGAACCTTTTAAAATTACACTTCCTAAATACAGGGCACAGGGTGCTACTGTCTGCTTGGAACCTCAAGTTTTATATCGGTTTTGCCAAGCAAAAATAATGTTATCAGAGAGACTTTTGGATTAATAGTTCTCTGAGGTACATCGAGTAAATGTTACGTGTTACCGACTCTTTCTTTGAGCAGCGTGTTCACTGCACTGTGCTAAAGGAGCTCAGCTTGAGGCTGTGTTCCCTCCCAGGCAACACTTCCTGCATCCTGACAGCTGGTTGAATCCTCACTCTGGTAGAAGCTGTGGCTCCAGAATTGAGCACATCAGCAGTAAGATGCCCCTGCTAGTGAAGAACGTTTGCTCTGATCTGTCAGAGGACCCACCTGCAGTTTAGTGCTGCTCAGGACGTTTAGATGATCGCAGGTGCTTGATAACCTATGTACTTTTGGATCTGTGACTTCCACTTTTAGGAAGACAAGACTTCGTCAGATCACACAGGCTTTTAAGTTGTAAAGTAAAATGGTTATAAGGTCTGTAAAGAATTTGTTTGCCTGGATAAATGAAAATTTGGTTTTTGAAAAATCAACAAATAGCTTCGTGAGACAGGAAGTGTGTTAAACTGGGGAGGAGAATGTAGGGGTGAGAGAGGTGCATTTATTTCTTTTGTTTTTCTGTTTCAGATTTTTATGAAACCAGATTTTGCCTTGGAAGATTCCTTAACATTTAATGCCGTTTTACCATGGTCTCATTTTAGTACTGCTGGTGGAAAAGGAAATCGTGACGCAGCTTCCTCCAAGTTACTTCAAGAAAAGGTACAAGTTTGATACAACACGTTGTTACCCATCACAGCTGTTACTCACTGCAGAGAAACTCCATACTCAGTTCTGTACTGTTCATTGAGACATCACTGTTGTGGGCTTTGTTATCTTTCGTTTTACCTCAGGCTGCAGATTGTTAGTAAACAATGCAGGAAGCATCTTGCTGAAAGAGAACTTCTTTTCCCTGCTAAATAAATGTATTCCTAAAATCTGGAAAAAAGAATCTGTGTATGGCATAATAATGGGCTCTTCACAAGCACTGGAACTTAGTGAAGCAGGTATATATTGAGAACTTCAGGGATGTGGAGCTCTTTGTTTAGGGAGGAAGAGCAATTTCATGAGAAGGAAAAGCTAGAGGTTGTACACTGTTTAAAACTATTGCTTTCTTGCATCTAAGGAAAACTCCAGAGTCGAGGCGCTGTGGTTTCTGTGTGAAAAGAAACACTAAATCCTAAGATTTTGTATGTCAGGAGCTTCCTCTTACCTTTTGTTGTCATGTCATCCGCACTGATCCATGTTTGCATTTTCACAAAGGATTGGAGAGCATGAAAGCAGAACTGTTTCTTTTCTATTGGAGACAGAAGTCTATACCTGGCCTTTTTTGTTTGTTTGTTTATCTAGTTATATTGTAGAAAATCCCATAATGAATCATTTTTATGATACAAATACCCATGAAATACTTATGGAAAATCTGCATAATTTTGGAGTCTTGTTTTCTAACTTTAATTTTTCTTTCCTGTTTTACCTACTAATGCTTCTGGGGGCAAGGGAAAAAAAACAAATAAAATTAAAAAATTAGTGAGGTGCTTTAAGAAAAAATAACATGAAATCTCAAAGATGTTTCCAGATTTCCAGGAGTTAGTCTTCCTGCTCTCCCTCCAGGTCAGGAGGAAGAGACGGGCTCTGCTAGAGGCTAACTCGTTCCTTCACCGGGTTGTCCTCCACACCTAAAGTTGGGGGAATACTTCTTTGGAGTTTCTTGTGGCAGTTGCTGTCTGAAGATGAAAGATCAGCACCTGGCATACGCTTTAAATTCTCAAAGTGAGCCTGGCAGCAGCAGGATGGACACTCAACACGGACTTTGAGCAACGGAGGCCCAGAGCCCTCTCTGATGCAGTGGAGTGAACATAATAAGGCTTTCAATAGCCATGAGCTGCCCCTCTTTGGAGAGGTGATACAAATACCTTAAGAGTATAAAGCAGTTCTGTTGCCTGCAAAGCTACATGCTTGATAAACAAATTATTACACTGCTTCACGTTACTGAATGAAGTGGGCTCAATTTTTTACTTTTTAAAGGCTCTGAACTGCACCAGGTTTACACTGACCACGTAAAGAGGCACCCTGCTGCCAGAATTATCCTTAGCTCCAGGCATTACTCTTGTGATAGTTTAACTTGGCTGGCACCCAAACACAACACAGCTGCTCACATCCCCCCCTTCCTTCCCACCCCAGGGAATAAGGGGGAGAATTGGAGGGGTAAAGGTAGTAAGGAGACTTGTAGGTTGAGATAAGAACGATTTAATAATGAAAATAAAATTAAAATAGTAATGATAATGATAACAAATATATATAAATGAGTGATGCACAGTACCATTGCTCACCACCCACCGACAGCGATCCTGGAGGAGCAGAAAGGAACCCTGAACCCTAAACTGCAATCCCCAAAGGGTGAGCCCAAGCAATTCCCCAGAGAATCCTCCCCCTATCCAGTCAACCCTGATTAATGTACTGAACATGATGTGATATGATATGATATGGGATATCCCATTGGCAGAGCCAAATGCCAATTCTGGGTTTTGCTAATTACTACGTTTCCCCCCCTCCCAGTCCTTTGCACTTGCAGACTACCCAAGTGTGGTGTCCTTGTATCTTACCAACATTCTTCTCATAACAAATCCCACACTGAAACCAAAACACAGAAGAAAATTAACTCTATCCTAGGAAAATCTGGACAACTTTTCAACAGGATTTGGAAAAGTTCTGCCTTGAGCACACATACTTGGGTTGTTAGTGCTTCTGGATTATTCCTGATTTTGTTGAACAATTTCCCCCTGACATTTTTTTTTCTTCCTTCTATGTCTTACCCACCACTGGAAGCTCTTTGAGGCGGGTACTATCATTTTGTTCTGTTTGTTCTACCTCACTTAGCATAGTGAAGGGACCTGGGGCATCTGGTTGGTAGAATCACATAAATAAATGATGATCATAACCCTTTCTCTGATCCTTGTGTCACGGTCTGTCTCAGCTTTTCCTGTGGGTTAGCTGTGTCGCAGCTGTTCAGCAGAGGATGTTTTTGATTAAACATATTACAAAAAAGATGGGTTTGCTTATTGTATAAATCCCCAGTGTTAAATACATGCAGGATGAAAATTACTTGTAAGAAGGAAGCATTCTCCAGCTGATTTTTCTTTCCATCTCTGGATGGGCCTTTTGAAATTCAGCATGAGGTTTTGAGTGCTTGGCACCTCTTAGAAACCAGGTCATCTGAGTATTAGCATTCAGATGAGCATCCTAATGCCTCAGTCCTTTGAGTTTGCATATTCAGCATAAGCCAGAACACAGAGCTTTTATAGCTCAAATAATCAGGCCGACCCAGTGGTGTGGTAAAACTGTTCAACATAGAGAATTTGAATTTCAGGTTTTTAAACATGTAGGCGTCCTCTGTCTCTGGGAATCCCACAGTCCTGGGGCACATGAAGTACATTTATTAAGAACTCCAGCTGGTTGGCAAGAAACAACTGCAGCCAGAGATACCTTGAGGATTTTTCTATAAAGAAGATGCTACAAGCTTTTAAATTAACAAAGCCATGTCATCAAGTATAGTGAGGCTGTGTCTTTAGCAACTTCAGTGACCCGAAGTATGTAGCATATTTTCATGTGTACGCTGTTCTCACTTGCACGCTGATATCCTGGTTAATGGCACTGCTGCTGTGACAGTGCCAGTGTGTAACCACGTGGTACAAAAGCTTGGGTATTTGAAAATTGGTTTTCTACCTTGTAGTTTTCAAGGAGGAGAAGCATCATCAGCCTTCCCAAAGTAACTTTGAGCTCATTTAAAAACAAATAGATCCAACCATGATAGGTAGTTATTTGCTTACTAATCTGATGAAGGGTTGTAATGTCTATTAGCAAAATTTCCTTGTGGTACAATAAGGCAAATACCCTAAAAGTACCTTTGCATGGTGATAAACTTGCCAAGTCATAACACCACTGTTCATTTTTCCTCCTCTGTCCTCTTTCTAGCTGAGCCATTATCTGGACATCGTGGAAGTCAATATTGCTCATCAGATTTCTCTGCGCTCAGAAGCATTTTTTCATGCAATGACCTCTCAGCATGAGTTACAGGACTACCTCAGGAAAACCTCCCAGGCTGTAAAATTACTTAGAGAGAAAATCTCCAAAATTGATAAAGTAATGTGTGAAGGATCACTTCGAGTTTTAAGACTGTCACTCACCAGAAATAACTGTATAAAAGCATACAATAAACTGAAGTTAATGGCTACTGTACACCAAACACAGCCCACAGTACAGTTGCTGCTATCAACTTCTGAGTTTGTCGGAGCTTTGGATTTAATAGCAACAACACAAGAAGTGTTACAGCAAGAGCTTCAAGGCATTCACAGTTTCCGGTAGGTAACCATCTAGGAAATTAATAAAATGTAAGAAAAACTAGAATGTGTTGAGCACATTTTTTTTACCTTTGTAAAAGGTTTGTTTTACCTTTGTTTGTTCATTCTTGGAGGACATAGTACAAAATGTAAGTGTGGTGTAAGCAGTGTGACTAATGCATGTTCCAGAGATGTGGGTTTTTTTTTTTTTTTAGAGGAGGATGAACTTTTTAACATCTAGATGCCTTGTACTCCATTCTTGTCTACAGGTGGTTTAAGGGTGCAGAGATGAGACTCAAACAGGGGCTGGACTTTCATCTTCCAGCTGAGAGATGATTTCCAGGTGGTGGTCTGTAATCCTCAGGCATGCAGCACCCCAGGGAGACAGTTCTTGCTACACAGCTCCACTCTGGGCCAGTCTTTAGTGACTGACTAAAGACATGTGGTCTAAGAGGAATATGCACGAACCATGTGATGAGTATGTCGGTCTCCAATCTGAGCTGGTGCTGGAAGAAGATTTGGAAGCAAAATCCAGTGCAAAGCTTTCGAACCATGGCTCAAAATGTGGTCTGAGGTTGACAGCTGATCAGGTGGGATGTGTTCAGCCATGAGGAGAGCTGTATTTACAGTGTGTGTATTTACTTCTCTCGAGGAGAGCTGTATTTACAGTGTGTGTATTTACTTCTCTCGAGGAGAGCTGTATTTACAGTGTGTGTATTTACTTCTCTCGAGGAGAGCTGTATTTACAGTGTGTGTATTTACTTCTCTCGTGGAGAGCTGTATTTACAGTGGCCAGAGGGTGCTTCCTCTTGTTCCATCCGACTCAGAAATCCAGTTTCTGTGAGTTGCTGAAGTTGGGAAGGGAAGAAACAGTGGGAAGGTGCTGCCTAAGCTGCTGTCACTACTGTTTTTTCACCCATATTTGCTACAGTGATGGGAATTAGTGAGTCCATGGTCCTGTGCTGGCTGCTTCTGTCAACACTGGATGCTTAGAACTCTGCCTGGGAGAAGCCACTGCAGTGGGCAAGGTCCTCTGTGATATGAAAGAGTATGACTACAGTAGAATCCTTTTAGCTGATGTAAAATAAGCTATTGTAATAGTCATTTACAGGAGAAAAGTGTCATATTCAAAGCTGCCACCATAAAAACACAATTGTTGCTCAATAACTGTAACATAAATATTCAGAACTTTCTATGGTTACTACTCTTTTCTGTCTGTTCAGATGAGCTCCTTTTCTAACACCCTTTCTAGCTGGTTGGGAAAAAGACTCAAATTTTATGTAGAAAAGATTGCAGAAAAAGTCTTTTAAAAAATTAAATTTAAAAGATGTATTTTTTTTATTTTAAGAGCTAATAAACTTATGGGAGCAGAGGTGTTAGAAGCTGTTAGTCTTTTTCTTTTAGCTTAGATGGTCCACCTTCAGATGCCTCTGTGCAGTTTCTTTCTTCTATACTGTCCTCACCCTCAACTTCTTGATTATGGTGCACAGCCCTTGACTGAGTCATTTGTATTTACTTTGATGATAGTCAGTGTACTTCTACAGCTAATACTGATTGATGTGACAACATCAATCAGAATTAGTTGTGGTTTGTAATCAAGTAACCTCCATGCTACCTCAGCCCAGAGTGCAATTCTGTTGTCAGTGTGATTAGTGGACGTGATGTCCCAAGAATGTGCCATTATTTTAAAATTGCACTTAGATGTGGAACATATTTGCAGGTAAATCTGTCTGTAGAAAGTGATTTTTGTGAATAATGCTCAGTTGGTTGATTTGGTAGAGTTAAAAATAGTGATGGGAATGGGAAATGTCCCCTCTGCTTTGCATGTTAAAGGTTTAGAAAGGTAAGTTAAATCCAACCTAAGTCATCACGCCCCACCAGAGATGCAAGGGCAGTTGAGAAACCCAGCAGAGTTATTCCCAAATGTCACAGTGGCCTGTGTGTCTGGAGAAATAATGTGCAGAGGTAAAACTTCACAGTAGAACATTGTGTTTTTAAAAATAGATAAAATAATAATTAAAAAAAATCTGAATTGATGCCATACACAAATACTTCAGCTTTTTCCAAGAACTACCAAATGGATGTTCTTGCTTTGTTCTGATCAAGAATGCTGCAATTGTCAAGATTTATTTTAAGAATAGATTAACTTGTAAATCAGTGTCTCATTTTTCTAAATAATTAGTATCTCCTTTTTTCCCCTAAATCAATTTTATCTTATTTAAAAAAAAAAAACCCTTATTCTTTAGTGTTGTGCATGGCAGCTTGTAGAATTTGCTTTTGAACAGCTATCTGTAAATTGAGTCATGTTGCAGAATCATTCAACATAAAGCAGTAAGAAAACTATTCAGATCACCCATATACAAAAATTACTCTCCTCTTGTCATTCTATAAGCAGAAAAAAAAAATGTAATTCTATTCTAGTTATAGCAAAAAGTGAAAACACGTTAATGGTGCTGTGAAGTAATAAATTGGTGTCTTTACTCTAGGTTAATATCCCCAGTGATTATATGTATCAGTCATAACGGTATGATTATTGCTTGCTACTGCTCTAGGATAGAATTAAGGTTTTAGAGCTCTAAAATTTAATTTTACAAAAGAAATAATTACGTGTTAACTAAATTACAAATCTGTACTGCTCATTTTTACCTTGTTTTCACAATCCTTGTTGGGGTGATGGAGATCTGGTGATATTATTATTATTATTA